ACTCGCGAAAACATGTTCCCAAGTCTCCTGTTTCGCATCGCGAAAACCGGAGCTCCCTAGCTGCTTTCTATCAAAAGTTATGGTCTACTGAAAATAGGTGGGACATATATGTCCCACCGGCCGTCAAAGGGTTAATTATGTCTCTGACTCTGTCTAATCAGACGCGAACGCACTTTTTGCACCTTTGCAAAACAAAATTGGCAAGAAAACGTTACAATTCGTCCAAACTGTACAAAATTTACAATGAGTTCCATTAGCAGGGCGTAGAAAACCGAATATGAAATAAAAGGGAAAAGGTGTCGATCATAAAGGCTTTAAATGGAAAACTTATCAGTTGTTTCTCCACTGATAGACCATTGCAAGAGCTACAAAATGGCATATTCAGTCTCTCTGTACGACGAAAGTGCGGCGAAAAAATAAAAATAAAACGTAATATTGGTTGGAAAGTGCTCCCGTTTGGGACATAGCAGTGTTGACAGCGTATGAATTCACGGCTATTTGTTGTTCAAAACCCTTTTCTTAGGGTTTTGAAGAGAATTAAAAAGTCTTCTCAAGTCTCTACAGTGAAAACTCACCAAGATATTGATGAAATATTGGTGGTATCATTATTTATGCCGCATCTGTTATTTCGAAAAAATGTGACTGCTAATCTTAAACATTAGTCCAACGAATAAAGCAATTACTATTTAATTTATAGTGCTCGATACAGACAGATTTAACTTTTGTAATGGAAAAATGTTGTGATAAGTAATGGCATTATTTTTTAGCGCCATTAAAGAAAAACAAAAGGAAGAGTTTATTTTTGCCTATACACTAGGTGTTGTAGTTTTCGAATCTCAGATCATTCTAGTTTCGCTTGAAGAATGACGATAAGTAAGCGTAATTTTCGATAGGGAGTAAACGCGTAAAATTACCGATCAACTGTATCCTAACTACCTTTGCATATGATCTAACTTCCATCTATCGGAAATATTGGTGTCTATTTAATAGTGATTTGTCAAAACAATCAATCACAAACGCATACTAATTCATGATTAAAGAGAATGATATACAAAACTGTATTGTCAAAAAAAGAAAGAAAAATCACTAGAAAATTCATATAAAAAAAAAGAAAGAAAAATCACTGGTGTAAGTAGAATTGAATGAAGTATATCAATCACCGGTTTAATACAGGTTTTATTGTCATCAGAAGACCGAGCTGTCTTGTATCACGTAGATTGTGTCGAATATCGTTAATAACACAAATGGACGGATTATTCGAAAGAGAGTAGACACGATAAATGACATAATTAGACAAATTAAGCATCTGTTCGATTTCTGCAACAGATATTTGAAATGTGTGTTGATCACTCATAGTCGTTGTTTTTACTTCGATGTGTTGCACTGGTAAGTCACCTTTTTTAACAAGAATATCATATGGCTGGTAGGATTCGCCGCTATCATTTAACCATTCGACACATATCTCCTGTTCATCTCGATATTTCCATATGAGATATTTATAGACAAATTCCTCACCAAAGTGACCGGTTAACAAATCTTGTTCATCAGTCGTCTGTTGGGTGGTCATTGGAGACGTAATTGCTTTCACATCAAGTTCATCGAGAGTATTCACACTGATACGTTCAAATTCAATTGCAGGCTGAGATAAATTGAACGACATTGATGAGACGACACGTTTAACATTTTTTCGTGGCGAGGAAAACTGCCGATCTTGTGGTTCAGAGGTCACTGAAAATAGCAAACAACAGCGTTTATGTCACTGAAAGTTCTTTAAAAATGTGAGTAACTGTTGAAACCTTATTAATACTATAGTTTAAAGATTTGATTTCATGGTGAGATTCCCAGACCGGGCAACTGTAACCGTGGTCCAGTGGACATTCTGATTAGACTTAATCTTTAAATTACCAACGATTTTCAGATACGCTGAGTACCATTGGAGGTGCCAGTAACCCCAGGAGAAAAAGATTCTGAGGTCAAAGTGATTTATTTTGACTCAGCTTTTGTTACAAGTATTAGACAACCTTGGGATGAGCTTTATATACAAATTTCCTACAACTGGCGCAGAAAATTGATTGGTTAATATCTTTTAGTCTATCACAATATGTACATTGTCCTCTCTTCTTGGATTCTGCGCTGGTTTCACAAGAATTGGTACTCTTCTTGTTGGCTTGCACAAGATTTTTGCCTAGCTCCAGCAAAAAAAGTCCCCGTTGATGAGAACTACTTGTTTCCCAGTTTGGCTTGGGATGCATCCAGATGATGAAGATATTGAGGACTAATCTTTGGCTCGAAATGTATTGATCTGAGAAGTACAACAATCTTTTCTTCTTCCGGAGAGTAGGATACCAACGTCGCTCTGTTTTGGAATGCGAACACCGATGAGTATTTTTCTTCTCTTTTATCGTTGTCAACCCAATTGGGAGTTCTTCTCGGTTCTTCCGACTCGTTCCAAGAAGGATGATGTTGACAGCATTTACTCATCGTACTAGTGGAAGGCTAGTGAAGAAATAGTTACATATGACGTTTCGTACAGATCGTTCTAACCATTTTATCATGTATATGACGACCCGCTGTTCGACTTCCTCGTCATTCCGACCAGTATAGACTTACATATGATAGACATACGACTAGGGATGTTCGGTTCTCGGTTCTCGCTAAGAACCGGAACCGCGGTTCGGTTTTGCGTGAGGAACCGGAACCGCGGTTCTCTTGTTT